CAAGGTAGGTAGCCAGCCTGGCGCAGGTGGGTCCTGTTCTTGGAGTGGAACTTTTTATTTCCTTGTCAATCCCCCAAAGCTGGTGGTCCTGACTGTGGGCTGAGCACAGAGCACCTGCGTGGAGCCCTCCAGATGCCTGAGAAATGACTGGCAGCAATCGACAGAGCTGACCTGCCTAGTGGCCTCCACTAGCAGCAAAGACCTGGGTGTCACTGGGTGGGTGAGGTGCCATCTCTACGTGAAGGAGCCCGGAGCTGAAGGGCAAGGACCCAGAGAGGGGTGGAGTGGCATCCGTGACCAGTGGACAGGTAGCCCCCATACGGGGGAAGGAGATCGGGGACCACGAGTGATCCTGGAGCCCAGGGGTCAGGTACACACCAAGCTCAAGGGAGCTGCTGTCCTGTCCTCAGAACCTGGACCACAAGCTTTGGGAGCCACAGCAGATGGGACGCTGGGGTCCTGCCAGCTGTCACCATGGGGGCTGCTCCAGGAGCAAAGCACCCAGTGGCAACCACAACGAGGTGGGGGCCGTGGTCATGTAAGAAGGGCCCTCACTGGGCTGAATAGTGTCTCCCAAACTCAAGTCCACCTGACATCAGAATGTGACCGTCTGTGGAAATCAGGTCTCTGCAGATGTGATCAAGAGGCCAGGGTGGGCCCTGATCCAGGGACAGTGTCCTTATAGACAAAGACACTCACAGGGGGCAGGCCGAGTGACCACAGAGGCAAACGTTGGAGGGAACACAGCTACAAGCCTGAGAAATGCCATGGATTGCTGGCCAGTGACACCAGATCCCAGGAGAGAGGCATGGGGCTGATGCCGCGACCCCTTAATATAGTTCCTCATGTTGTGGTGACCCCCAACCATAAAATTATTTTCGTTGCTACTCTGTAACCATAATTTTGCTACTGTTATGAATCGTAATGTAAATATCTTTTTGTTTTCCGATGGTCTTAGGCGACCCCTGTGAAAGGGTTGTTCGACCCCCAAAGGGGTTGCAACCCACAGGTTGAGAACCGCTGCTCTAGAAGGAGCCAGCCCTGATGACCCTGGAGTTTGGACGTCCGGCCTCCTGACTGTGGGGAATCCCTCTTTGTTGTCCTCAGTCACCCTGTTTGTGGTGATTGGTTATGGCAGCCCCAGGGCACTTGTGCAGCCACTGCAGGATAGTGGGGGGATGGTAGAGGGAGGGTTTGGTAGGGGGTAGACCCTCTGGGGTCCTACTTGAGGTTGTAACTCATTGGGGAAATGCAGTGCAGATGCCCCCAGGCATTTCCACAAGGCTGTGGGGGTACCAAGCCTTACCCCCACTTCCCCTGCCCCCACCCCCAGAAAAAGGCATGGGAATCAAAAAAGGAACCAGAGAAGAGAGGTGCTATCTCAGCCTGGATCCTGGAGATGAAGCCCAGGGTTGGGGGGTAGGGGGAGCAGGGGTTCAGTTGTAGCTCTGGCCGGTAGGAGGTAGCAGGAGGGGGTTAGGCAGGGGCTCCAGGGTCCCCACCTGCATGAGCCCCCACCTGGGCCCTGGCTGGTGGTCCTTGGCCTCCCTTCCTTGGCCTTCCCAGGTGCTGCTGTGGGCCTAGAGCTCCGTTCACCCTGAGCACTGCACAAGCAGGATGTCCTCTAGAGAAGGCTACTCCAGAAGTCAAAATAGCATGAAATTTAATTTTCCGCCTATTTGACAAGGCTTGGTTGGGGCCCCAATCAGTGGCAGAGATAAGGGTCCTCGGCCGAGTGTGAGGCAGCTGGGCGCGCGGCAAACACTCTACGGTCCCCGGGCAGGCCGAGGTTCCCCCCGCCGGGCCCTGGTTGCTGGGCGCTAAAGCAAACGGAATCTATTTGCCCAGTCTGCGATGACAATGCAGTCGCCAAATATTTGCCAGCCCGGCCGGCTGTGGAGCCTGGCTATAAATGCTTGAGCCCAGGTGGAGGTGGGCCTGCCCAGCAGAACTGCAGGCCTCACAGGTAGGAGCCGGGCTGGGCGGCGGCTGGGAGGGTGCTGGTAGAAGGGCCTGGCCTCCTCCCTCTCCTGGAAAGACTGTGGGCCCTTCTGCCCAGTTGGTCTTTGGGGAGCGGTCACCAGTGGGGCTGGGCAGGGCCAGGCCATGGAGGCCGGCGACAGGCAAGCACGCGCCAGGGGAAGGAGGGCACTTAGCTCTGGCTTCCCATGAGCGGCCACTGCTGGAGCCACCAGACGCCCCTGCAGGGGAGAAGGGCCCCAGCGCTGTGGACAAGATTGGGAGCACAGCATGGCCAGCGGGGCGCAGGGAGGAGGGGAGGCCTCTGCGCTCCCTACGACCCTCTGACTCTGAGTAACACCTGTAAACTCACCGGACCCCCTGGGGGGTATTTTCTGACAAGCTAGGAGCCGCCCCACCTCCACACTACCTTCCCTTTCTTTCTCCCTCTTCCCCAGGGTTCACCCACCTCCTTCCAGCTGTGAAGGGGCATGCTGGACATGCTGGGGTGGGGGGCACTCTAGCATTCAGAATGAGCTCCACTTGGCTACGGGCCAAGGGGAGAGCTAGCTGCAACCTTGACAGTGTCCTCCCCAAACCCCCTCCCTGTCCTCCCGAGCCCCAGGCAAGAGGCCCACAGGCCTTCCCGACTATCACTGACCCTGCCAAACTGCGGGGTGTTGTCTCCTTCACCCTTTGCTCCCCTGACAGGTAACAGATGAAAGCCTGGGACCATGACCGCACTTATTAAAATTAGACAAGGCAGGAGAAATGGTATCAGCTCTGAAGCCCCCCCAAAGCTGCAAGGGCTCTAGGGCTCGAAGCTGTCGGGCCCATCTCCCAGGGACAGTGGGATGCTCCCAGCCCGACACTCCGGTGAGGGGGTCAAGGCATCACCCGCCCAGCACTTGGGTAGATGCCACCTTAGCGAGCCTATTTATCAAGAGCCGTAGCAACCCCATGCTGCCTTCCCACCTCTCTTGCTTCTCTCTCCTGAGACTTTTCTCACCCAGTGGACTATTCGAGTGGCACCACCCCGTTACACACTCTCCCTCCCCACAGACCATCCTCCCTACAGGACAGGATGCATCACTCCTAGGGTTAACAACCATCCCACAGGCCACTGGCTATTATAAACCCTGCAGTCTATACTCTGTATGCTCTCCCCCACTCCACTCCTGCCATGCCCACTATTATGGTGCCCACTACCCTGTCTCCAAATCTCACCCACTTCTGAGCTTGGCACGCTCTTCAAGGACAAGTGGCCACACAAGCCTGCAGTGGCCAGTTCTACCAGGAAGGATGACCGCTAACCTGTCCCCTCTCCACCTCCCTCCCCAGTGGGCGCCTGCTGCCCCAGAGGCCCCAGAAGCTCAGACGTGGAGGAGATGGCTGCTGGCGTGATCCGGCCGCTCTGTGACTTCCGGCTGCTCCTGCCGTCCCTTGGACCCTTCCTGCCCTCAGACCTGGAGCCCCCAGACACTTCTGAGGAGGAAGAGGGGGAGGAAGAAGAGGAGGATGGGGAGGAGGAACTGGAGGGTGAGGGGCCAGGGGGCCATAGCCCAGCCCCCCAGAGCTCAAGTTGGGCCACAGCTGCCCCAGAAGAGGCCCCTCCAGGTCTGAGCAGCCCTGAGACGCCACTGCAGCTGCTGCGGTTCTCCGAGCTCATTAGTGGCGACATCCAGAGGTATTTTGGCCACAAGGACAGAGGGCAGGACCCAGACGCCTGTGACATCTACGGTGACAGCCGCCTGGCCGGCAGCTCAGCCAGAGAGCTCTACTGTGCAGACCTAGTGTGTCTGGCCCAGGGCGGGTCTCCAGATGACGACGAGGCCATTGAGCCCGGGGTCCACTCGCCTGGGGATCCTGAGGGGCAGGCGCACGGGACAGGTCATGGTGGGGACAGGGCACAGCCATTGGGGCCCCTGGCTGAGCTGTTCGACTATGGGCTGCGGCAGTTCTCATGGCCCAGGGCATCGGCTGGCCGCCGGATGAGGCTGGAGCGGAAGTATGGCCACATCACCCCCATGACCCAGAGGAAGCTGCCCCCCTCTTTCTGGAAGGAGCCGGCGCCCAGCCCCCTGGGCCTGCAGCATCCTGGCATGCCTGACTTCAGTGACCTGCTAGCCAGCTGGTCAGCGGAGGCTGGTCCTGAACTGCCGGGTGGGGGTGCCCAGCCCCTGGAGGGGGTGCAGCTGGCCGAGGCCTAGTGATTGGGCGACGGCTGGCAGGGGGTAAACTGGGGCAGCAGGGCTCTGGACTCTTTTTATGGCTGTCATGGGAAGAGCCCTGGGGCCCTCCAATGTGGGCGGCTACCAGAACAAACCAGCCAAGGTGGAGACTTTCCAGGCCTGGGGAGACGGACAGGGCTCATCCTGGGACCCAGAGCTGCCACCACCAGAGGCCACCAGGGCAGGAATTGGCAGGGGCCAGTCCCTAGCACCCAACCCGGAGACCCTGACCCTTCTCCCTCAGAGCTCTGTCCGCAGGAGAGGAGGACAGAGCAGCAGCCACAGCCCCTCAGAGGTGGTGGGCTTAAGGGTTCTACACGCTGTGCCCTCCCAGACCAGCTCCCAAGATTCCCAAGGGCAGCCCATGCATGGCTGGTCCCAGGTGGCCCTTCCTCAAGGCCCCAAAGTAGGTGGCAGGGCCAGTTACCCAGATAAGCCAAGGGTTTTCTTGAAGAGGCAGGAGGAGGGGGTGCTACTGAGTGCACGAGCAAACACACTGTTTGCTCCCTGGATTAGGGCAGGAAGGGCTGTTTCTCTGCAGGGCACTTCCCAGGTGTGAAGGACAAGGCTGGCAGCCGTGGTTCCTGAGGCTGGGCTGGCCTGGCTGCTAAGGGACACTGGCCAGGAGTGGGTGGGGGTCTCGGGCCGCTGTGCCTGTCGGGGGGAGGCCCAGGAGAAAGGCTGGGCTTGGGGCTTGTTTGGGACCGGGTAGGAGGCGGGTGTTTTGGGAATCTGGGGATGGGTCCTCTTGGTTACTGCCGCTTCTCAGGCCTCCTGACCCCCTGGAGGGAACTTCAGGCTCTGACAGGTACAGGAGCTGGCAAGTTTATTTCTGGGAAAAGGGCAAGAACATGAGCTGGTGGGCAGGCTCCTGGCCGAGGGAACTCTCCAAGACCGCTCTCGGCCTCCACCGGGCCACCCGGTTCATGAGGACTGCCTTCCACTGCAGCCACCTGCCGGGAGACACAGCTCATGGCCCACTGCCCTCGGGGCCTCCCCCAGCTCTGAACCCTAACCTGGAGGGGCCTCCAGAAAGCAGCTCCCCACTGCTCACCTCACAGCCTGATACACACCCCAGCGGTTCACAGGGACCACCTCACCGGGGGCCACATCCTTGACGAAGAACTGCTGTCTCACCAGGGACATGAGGACCTTCCTGCTGCCCAGCGTCAGGGCCCACGGGCCCTCCTCACTCCACAGGCGTATCAGGCTCTCCCTCAGGGTAGCCATCTCCTCCATGCGCTGGGACGGAGGCAGGGGTGCGTGGGGGAGGGACTGACGTGGAAATGCAGGAATTGGACCAAGGGGATGGGACAGCAGACAGGATTATCTGCCTCTGGGCAAACCAGGGCCTTATCTGCCTGGAAACGCTGCTCAGGCCAGACATGCAGACGGACAGATAGATGGATGGTGGGAGAAACTGAAAGCTAGAAGGGCAGGCAGGCTGTGAGGGGTCAGGGGAGCTGGGAGTCAAGCTGCGCAGAGCAAGTGGCCTGCCCTCCGGGCCTGGAGCCCCTGGAGCCTCGAGCGAGGATGAGGGCCTGTCCCGCCAGCCTGGGGCCGCCTCTTACCAGCTTGGTCTCTGAATTAAACTTGAGGTTCTGGATGGTCTTGTTGTCCTGGATGTTGTTTTCCAGTTTCATTATTTGTTTCTGAAACTAAACACAGCCTCCCCATTTGTGGGCACAGAAGCGGCTCTCACCCCAATACCCTGGGGCAGGAACTTGCTTATCACACGAGGGTCCTCACCCCTCGCTGGGATCGGGGGAGGGGGCGCCCCTCACCTGCCCAGTGCTCAGGGGTGCTCCATTCACTGTGATTGCTCATCACTGTGATTGAGCCCTAGCATTTGGGGCTCCAACAGGTGCACCTATTTGGGACTTCCAAAGCCTAAGATATGGGGAGCCCCTGGCAGGATAGCTGGTTCTGTGAACCTTCCTGGGGACCCCGATGCAGGGGGCCGCCCCCTGTCTTAACCAGACGACCTCCCCTTCTGAGTGTGAAAGGCACAGTGCCCCAGGGGTACCGTGGCCAGCGTGCCCTGGACCTCCGCGATCTTCCTCCCGGGGTTGCCTTCCCTGAGCAGCTGCACGGACGACAGCAGAGCAGCCAGCTCCTGCCGCATGGCCCCAACCTCGAGCTCTCTGTGGGCACAGAAGGCTGAGGCTGCCAGGCTCTGGAGTGGGGGGCACGCGGCGGTGGGTGGAAGGAGGAGGCCCTGGGCACAGCAAGGGGCACCCTGCTTTACCCCCCTCCAGTGGGGACTGGGGGGGTCCCCAGCGGGTGACAGCGAGAAAGGCTCAGGGATCCATGCAGGCTGCCCGCAGCGAGAGCCAAGGTAGGGCTGGGGAGGGGCTGGAGCTGCCACAGGTGCCGGGAGCTCATGGAGGAGAGCCCACGAGAAGCCTTGTTGGTGCAGCCAGGTGTTTCTGAGGCAGCTGTACCTTCCCAGGGTGGGCACCAGCCCAGCCAGTGATGGTCAGCTTACCAGAGCCCACTCCCCTCCCCAGAGGGCACCGTCCTGCCAGGCTGCGGCCAGGAGCTGGGCCTTACCTGGCTTTGCCCTCAGTGGAAATCTTAAGGTCTGAGTCGCTCTTATGCAGGACGCATCTGTCAGAGATGGCTTCTATCTGAAATGGAGCCCAGGCGGGGGTGAGTGGGCAGCCAGGTCTGGACATAGCAGGACAGGAGAGCTGCAGCCCTGGCCCTCACCCACCTGCCGGGGCAGGCTGTCCATTGTCTCCTGCACCTCCCTCAGGTGCGCCTGGGCCTCCTTTCGACACTGGGCCAGGCCCTCCAGTGATCTCCGCTCTGCACCTTCCCACTCACTCTTTGCCTGGGACACGGACACCCAATGAGCCCGGAGCCCGGACAGGGAGGGTGGACAGACAGACAGACTTAGCACACCTCTGACTCCAAGCACAGGCACACAGGCCGCACACAGCCCAGGACAGCCTGGCCAGTCACAGCCTGGGGGCCCAGGTCTCCTGGGCTGGGCCACCAGGTTGAGCAGAGACATATCTCTAAGAAGCAGGCCTGGCTCAGCCCCCTCCCCACACCAGCCCCTGTTGCCCACTGGAAGGCAGTAGGGACAGGGACAGAGAATAGCCAGGCTGCCCACACATGCAGGAAAAGGGATGCAGGGCAGGTCTGGGGGTACCTGACCCCACAGCCAAAGGGTGTGTGTGCGCGTGCTCACAGCAATGCCACCCAGATCACCCCAAAGGGCAGCAGCCCATCGGCTGATGAACGGATAAGCAAACTGTGGTCCATCATACAGTGGAATAGCACTCAGTCATGAGAAGGGACGAAGCACCGACATCTACGACGACACGGGTGGACCTCAAAAATGTCATGAGAGAAGCCAGACACAGAAGGTCACATAGCGTGTGATTCCGTTTCTATGAAATGTCCAGAACAGGCAAATCCACAGAGACAGAACGCAGATAGTGGGTGCCAGGGGCTGGGGGAGGGGAATGGGGCGTGACTGCTGATGGGGACAGGCTCCTTTTTGGGGTGATGAAAACCTTCTAAAAGTGATTGTGATGGTGGCTGTACAACTCTGAATATATTAAAAACCATGGAATTATACACTTTAAAAGGGTGAATTGTATAGTGTGTGAATTAAACCTCAATAAATTCGTTACAAAAAAAAAAAGAAACCAAGTGGTGGAAGCTGCATTGGTGTGTTCTGGTCTCCGGGGCTTCTGATCATCTCAGCAGCTGACCCTGGCCTGCTCTGCCCCGAGCAGGAGGTCTCCATTGCTCAGGACCACCCTGGGCTTTAGAGACAGCCACTGGGTGGTCTTAGGACCGGCTCGCTGATGAGGCCTCTGCCCTTGGGGAGCCAGAGGGGTGCCAGGACCCCCAGACAGCACCGTGGCCTTACCTCACGCAGCCTCTGGGTCAGCATCTGTTCCTGTAAGTCTAGCCTCCAGCTCAGGGCCAGGAAGTGGTCGCTCAGGTCCTTCACCTGTCTGACCAGCGCATCCACAGACACCTCCAGGGCCTGGCTCTTCTCTTGGAGCTGCGGGAGGCTAGGCTAAGTGTGGAGGCCTGGGAGGGTGGGAGACCCCTCGAGGCGACCTGACTCGGCCCCGCCGCTCTCACCAGCTCCACTGAGGTGCGCATCTCCTGCCGGGCCAGCTTGCTGGCCAGCTGCACGGCCTCCAGGTTCTCCTGCAGATAGGCAGCCAGCTCCCCAGCCTGGCTCTCCTCCAAGTGTCCCTTGGTGTCCCTGAGGGTTAGCGTTACTGAGAGAGACTGTCCCTAAGCCGAGACTGGCCCACCCCTCAGAGCTGGACCAGGGAGGGGAGCCTAGCTGCTGGCTCCAGAGCCTTCCAAGAGACCCCGGGGGAACAGAGGATCGAGTGTCATCACAGGGGCCACCAAGATGGGGCTGTGTCCACCACTACCATGCAGTTTCCCCAGGCTGGAAACTGGTAGCAACTCTGCCCTGGGGGACCCCGCTGGGCAGGGTGCTGGGCTCAGGATGCCCGGGTCTGGGGAGAAGGACCGTTCAGGTCCATCCGGCCTGACAGCTCCAGTTCCCGGCCCATGGCTCCATTCGGACACCCACCGGGCCTTCTGCTCAGCCAGCAGGACATGGTTCAGTGACATCTGGTTCTGGTGCACAAACTTGGTCAGCTGGACCACAGCCCTGTCCAGGTCCCAGCACTGCTCCAGGAGGTGCGACTCTTCTTGCTGTGGCGCAGAGGTGGCCCGGAGTCCCGAGCCGCCCGCCTCCCTGCTGCCCGCTCCCTGCAGGCACCCAGCCCACGCCCAGCCAGCTCTGCCCACCTTGCACTGCCCCCGCAGGGCCCACACACGCTCCTCAGCCAATTCCTGGAGCTTCTGCCACCTGCTCTCCAGCTCCTCCCTCAGGCTGCTCTCCGCCTTTAGCCGCATGCTTTCTGAGGCCTTCATTCTCTGCAAGAGATCCCCCAGGTTGCGGTGAGCCAGGCCAAGGGGGGGGGTTGGGGTAGGGCCCCGCGAGAGCCCTCAGTCTCCTTACCTTCTCAAGGGCCAGGAAGCTTTTCTGCAGGAAGCCACACAGCTTGGCCTCCCTCTTGAGGAAGCGGAGGCTCATCTCCTCGCCCAGCTTGGTCACCTGGGCCTGTGGAGGGTGGGGGCCACGTGGTCACCGTGCTGCCATCGTGCTGGGCGTCCTCCTCCCACAGCTGACCCTCACCCACTACACCACTGAGGACTTGTTTTCAGCCATCTCCATCAGGGTGGACTCTATGTCCTGTGTCCCCAGCTGTCCCTGAGCCTCACAAGAGCTGAGCCCACCACACTCGCCTTAGGAAGGAAGGCAGGGCAGGCAGGGGCCACATGTCCCCCTGGAGAGCCAGGCACGAGAGTTGTGAAGGGCCTGCAAGCTCACGTAGGTCCAGAACACACTTGGTGCCCACAGGAGTGACCACCAGACACAACCCAGGGAAAGGGGCACAGCAGCCACTAAATCATACCCCGAGCTGGGAGCCTCAGGAAGGGAGGCCGAGTATATGTGTGAGCACACACTCATGCGCATACACATGCAAATGCACACACGTACATGCATGTACTCATGCCCATGAGCACATAGTGCACACATGTGCAGTGTGTAACCACATGTGCATGCATACACACACGTGCACATATGAACACTGCACCCATGCACGTACACACTCATGCACATACACACTTATGCACACACACCTGTTGCTCTTGCCCTCCAGGCCTGGGTGGGGCCTCTTCCCCCAAATCTCTTCCCTGTCAGCTCCTTTTGTATTGCACCAAGGGTCTGAGGGTGCAGGAGATGGGGAAGTCAAGGCCCAGCCCAGCTCTGTCTCCCAGCCTCGCACACCCATTGGACAGGAGGCACCTTCTTGGAGGCCAATGACCTCCAGGACAGCTCCCATAACACACATGCAGGTGCGCCTCAGCCCCTCTTGGCCTCCCAGCCCCACGCAGGGTGACCTGGAATGGGGCAAACTTTCTGGAGAGAGCCAAAGACTAGAAGTTTCAGGTTTATGGGCCACATGGCAGTGGGAGTGGCTGTGTGCCGATAAAACTTTATATACAAAACCAGGTGGGGGGCTGCAGCTTGCTGGACCCTGGCCCTAGAGCATGCTTGGCGAAGAGTCAGGTGCCCCATGAGGTGCCTAGCACATCGGGAATCACTGGACTCAGTGTCCCTGGAACTCCTGGCTGGCGGACAGCAAGCAGCCTCTTGAGGGAACCAAGAAACTACCCAAAGGGCAGCAAGAGGGGAAGGCCACCGAAGCTGGGCAGCCGAGCTATGTGGGCAGCAGCTGGGGCCTCGCCGGTGTGCAGCGCAGTCCCTGGTCTCTATTTGCAGAGCTGAAGAGGCTGCCTGTCCCCTGCCCCACCTCCTAAAGCCACACACAGGAAGGGACACCATGCTAGCCCAGGCATAGGACCATTGGGAGACATGTCCTCAGGAAGGGAACTTCCACTTCACATGAAGGGAAGCACAGGGGTTGAAATGGCTGAGGATGGAACTTTCTGTGAACAAGGTGCTCCCTCCATCCTGGCGCCACCCCACACTTGGCCACCGAGCATGTGAAACGTGGCTCATGTAACAGAGGAACCGAGTTTTAAATTGTCTAACGGTGTCAGCTAATTTCAATAGACAGAGCCACGCCCCCCCCCAGGTCAGATCACATGGACGGAACTAAACAGAAAGCTGGCATGAGGGAAGAAACTGTCACAGGAAGTACATGGGCTGGGCTGGGAGTCCTGGGGTCTCTTCCGGATGGACCCTCTTGCCAGCAGCCCAGCGGGCTGCCCAGATGCCAGCACCCTGCCTGGTACCTGCATCCTAGCCACCTCATGGTCCATCCTCTGACTGGACTCCTCCTCGCTCCTCTGCAGGGTGCAAATGGCCACCTTCCTGTCCTGTTCCTCCTGCTCCAGCTTCTCAGCCAGCTTGTCCAACCTGTGGGTACCTGCCAAAGGTCACAACCGCCTGGCCAGCAGAGGGCCTGGCTGGGGAACCACAGGGAGGCTGGTGGGGGCCCTGGACTTCGAGAGTCCTTCTCGGGCCAAGGCTGACCTACAGTTCTGTGGAGCAGGAGGTGCACAGCCCGCCTGGGGACACAGAGAGGGGACAAGACACTGGCTTCCCTGTCCCCTCCTGGGATGGTGAGAGCTGGGCCCCCATGAGCATGACCTATGGGAAAGAGGAAGGGGTGGGGACCCGCAGGCTTGAGTCTCTTTTTCCCACACAGGGTCCACGGGGGTCTGAGGCTCCCTGTCAACCAGCAGCTTGGCACTGAGGGCAGGGGGACACCTGCCCTGCCTTGGTGACTCCCACAAGACCACACCCAGAGGGTCCAGAGCTGGCCCCTAGGGAGGGAGGTGGGCAGTGCGCACCTGAGGTTGGCTTCCTGCTCAGCGCCCTTCCGCTCGGAGTCCTGGAGAGCCTGCTTCCTCCTGATCTGGGTCAGAGTCTCCCGGACATCCACCAGCCTGGCAGATAAGAGCTGCTTCTGCCCAGGGCCTACCCTGCCTACCCTCCTGGCGGCCAGGAGAAGCCCAGAGCAGGCTGGGCAGGCTGTGGGGCCCAGGGGCCTGGCCAAAGGGCACTAGCAGTAAGCCTCCCACCCCTTTCCCAGGCCTCTGCTCACCCAAACCCAGACCTTTTGAGTTGGACCATGGGTGAGTACTGCTTACCTGAGCAAGGCAGCTAACAGGGGAAATGCAATCTGGTGGCTCCGGCACCAGCACCACTCTCCCAAAGCACCCTTCCCTCCCGTTAGGGCCTGTGCCATGGGTGTGGGAATACCTCTTGTCCAGGGCCTGCATCTGGTCCTGGGGTCTGGGGAACTGCGAGGAGGAGGAGGGTGTGGGCTAAGTACAGGCCTGGGGCCTCACGGCCTAAGGGATTCTCTGGGTTCTCTGCCTGGGCAGCAGGGGCTGAGCTGGGCTCGGGGTCCAGCAAACAGCTGCCCCAGCACCCAGGAATGGGGGAGCCTGGATTGTGGGTGGGACTAGCTGCCTCCCAGCTGATGGTGGCTCACCTCCGAGGCCTCCTTCTCGGGGGCCCAAGCCACCTGTTGCAGCTCCTGCTGTAGTTTCTTCAGTTCTGAGTCCTGTAGCTGCACACGGGCCCGCACCTGGCGCAGCTCCTGCAGCAGGCTCAGGGTGGCACGCTCACAGTTGTCCTTGTGTCCCCGTAGGGACACCACCTCAGCCTGCAGGCCAGCCACCCTGGCCAAAGTGAGGAGCAGGCTGAGTGGGCACACGTACCATGGGGCTGACGTGTGGCTCTCCTGCCCCACGCCCTACCAGGCTCACCATTGCTCCAGCTGCTTCCAGCGCTTGGGGGTGTCCTGCTCTGGGACAGGGACAGTGGACGCCAGGCGGCTGGTCTCATACCTCTCTGAGATCTCCTCTAGACTCAGGGGCTCAGGGCTGTCCAGCCCTTCCTCCAGGAGGAGTCTCAGGTCCTCCAGGGTACTCAGCTGCGAGGGGGGCGAGGCCCCTGACGAGGGGTTGCTAACAGCCATCTTTATAAGGCAACTTTGGGCTTGCCCCTTGAACTTCTGGGCTGACAAGGGGAGCTGGCTCCCAGATGGAGCTTAGGGTAACAGGGACCCAATTCAGTGCAGCAGCTGTCACTCAGAGTGCCCACCAAGCTCACTGCGGCTTGTTCTGCTGTCACACAGCCAGGTCCAGGGAGAGCTGGACTCTCACTGCTCCACAGCAGGAAGCTCAGGCTCAGAGAGGTCCAGCCCCCACCTGAGAACACACAGAACTGGGCAGCAGGAGCTGGACAATGCCTTGCCCTTCCTGGCCAGCTGCAGGGGGAGCCCCCAGGCTGTGGAGCAACCTGGGAATGAGGAAGCAGAGCTGGCCCCCGTCATCCACACCCCCATGCAGGCGCCTCCCTGGACTGTCCTCCCAGCTCCGGCCCCAGTCAGCACCTGGCTCTCCTCACAGAACTTCACCAGCAGCAGTCTTTGGCTCTGGTCACTGCCAAAGCCCTGGGTCTAGTACCCCGTGGCTGCCCAGAGCTGGACACAGGGGAGGTTAGGGACAGGGGTGGGGGCTGGAGGGAGGCAGGAAGTCAGAGCTGCAAGGCTCCAGGGCCTTGGGGGAACACGTGGGGCGTGAAGGGGCGAGCTACTGGCCTCTCACATCTCACCTCCTTCTTCCAAGACAATATCAAGGTAGGGAGGCAGCGGGGTCTTTTCTGGAACCTTGTGACTTCATAGCCCAACTGCCGGTGGAACCTGAGCCCTTAACTCTCTGGTTCCCACATAGCCTCCCCAACTGCCTGTTCCTGGAAGGGTTCAAGGGGGCACCACTCAGCCAGCTAGAGGGCAGAGTCAGAAGACCTCTGGACTGGCCTGGCCTGGGTGGGAGGGATGCCCAGGAGGAACTGCTGGCCCTCTGGTCATTGAACCTGAACAGGAAGGCTGGGATCTCCAGGTGGACTGGATACAGCCAGCCCTGCACCAGGAACACAGGCCCTGAGGGACCATCCAAAAGAAAGGTGCCGTCACAGGTGTGGGCTGACGTCACCGTTCGTAGCAGCCACAGTGAGAGAAAGGTGCTGTGAATTTCAACAGTCCATTTATTTAACCTGGTGTACCTGAAATACCGTCATTTCAACCTGTGCTCAGTACAAAGTGAGCGAGATGCTGTACCTGCTCTCTCCACACCATCTTTGAAGGCCGGTGGGGTGTGTTTTATTCTCACTCCCAGTCCCGCGCCCTCCCCATGTGTGACCCAGACCCGCTCACTGAGGGATGGCTGGGGGTTTCCCTGTAGCAAGGTTAACATTTCAGTCAACCCCTTGTCCAGGGGGAGCCACACCATGTGCCCTGTGGCCGAGCCGGTCTGGGAGAAGATGGACACGCAGAGCCGAGCCGTGTGCAGATGGAAGGGCCCCTGGGGAGAAGCCTTCCCTGCAGGGCTCTGCAGCAGCCCCAGGGACGACACTGCCTCACATCCAGACAAGGACACAGTGGTTGGTCCCCAAGAGGCTCCCTCCTGTAGGACATGTCATGGCTACAGCTGCACGTCCCCTGCAGGTTTCTGGGCCTCTTACCTGTATCCCCCTCCCGGGGATGTCCATACTGGGGTGCTGCCCACCTGCACCATGCATTGAGGAGAGCCCCATCCCAGACACCCCCACCCCCAGTGGCCCCAGAATTCCAGGCTGCTGAGCATGAAAAGAGAGCTGATACTGGCACTCTGAGTACAATTCCTTTATTTCTCCCATTCAGGCCCCCCACATTCAGACCCCTGCTCCCCTCCCAGCGGCTCCCCATCAGGATGAGATCGGCTGTTCGAGGCCCCACCCCTTTGACAGGGGCCATAGCTGAGGCGCAGAACTCACCACTTCACCACGGATCTGCACTGCCTCGTCACAGAGACGGGTGGGCCAGGACTCGCCAGCCCCACGTGGCCTGGGAGGGCAGTGGCCCTGCTCAGGCTCACTAGATCATTCCAGAGCCTGTCTGCCCCAGAGCTGGAACCTCACTGTGGGCCGGCGGTGCTCAGAGGCCAGTGCCCACCACACCCACGCTAAGATCCGCCGTCCCAGCTGCTGTCCACACGGCAGCCACAGCTGTTCATCTGGACTCCAGCCTTGGAGGGCTTGGGGTGACAGAGGCCCGGCAGGAGTCAGGGGTTCAGGCCCACAGGTGGCTCTCGGCTGTCCTTTGGCCAAGACTCCAGCACAGAGCCCATCATACCCCAAGTGGGGGAGGGACCCCAGGGGTGCACGTGGTGAGTCTGGGAGAATAGCCAGTTTCTAGTCTGCTGTCCGGGGCTGTTCTGCTGCCCTGAGCCCTCGCCTCTGTGTGTCCCAGCTGCACAAGGTCCATCACCTCACGGCTACAGACTGAGCCGAGAGGGACAATGCCAGAGACCTCGGCTGTCCAGGCCTCCAGCTGGCAGTTCACAGGCTCGTGGTCCTTCTGGGCTGGCACCAGGTAACAAGGAGCAGGGAAGCGGCGATGGGGCCCCGCCCTGCAGGCTAGCAGCACTCGGACCCACAGGGCCCAGCTCGCTCGCTTTCTCACACACATGAACAAAGACACACGGACACACAGCAAGACACACACGAACACACACCCTCTCGCTGGCTCTCAGGAAGCGAGTACTTGCACAAATGTCTGATCCCTGAAGGTGAAGAAACAGGAGGATGGAGAGTGACAGCCAAGGGGTGAAGGCCAGGGGAAGTGTGGAGACGCCACCAAGGTGCCCACGTAATGGTCATGCTCACACACCAGCTGGGCCATCTGGAGAACGCTGGATTTGCTGCTGCCCGAGGACCGAGGTGAGGACCCTGGCTGAGGTGCCAGGGCTGGGGCCTCACGTCTGGGCCAGTGAGAGCTCCTCCAGGCCCCCCTTCCCAAGCCGGTACCTGGCCAGGTCCTTCCTGGTTACCAGCCCGACCACCTGTGGGAAAAAAGCCAGGTCATGGGAGTCCAGCGGCCCCCAGAAGCGTGTGGGGGAGCGGCACAGTTTGGGGAGGCCCGGAGGCGGGCACATGGCCAGTCTGGGTCCTGGGCCTGAGACCCCTGCAGGAGCTGAGAGCTGTGTGCACCTGTGACCATGGCAGCCAGGTGAGGGGGGGGAGAGGAGCCCCCTGCCCTCCTGGCCCCTCACCTGATTGTGGTTGTCCACGACCACCAGGTGTCTGAGGCCCAGGGCCCGGAACAGCTTGAACACCCTCGGGAGAGACGCCTCCTGCAACATGGACATGGCCTCAGCTTGCCTGCCGGCCCAGACCGGCCCCACCCGAGAACAGAGCAGGACCCACCAGGCTCTGGTCAGCCGACTGCCATCACACCCACTGCTACCGGGACATCGAGAAGCATCCTGTGCCGCCCCTTCCCCACCATGCCAGCCAACCCTGCCTCAGTCGTGCTGCTGGCATCCAGTCCCACAGCCACCCCACCCACCCCCTACTCCCCAACCCGTCCGAGCTGTGAGGCTGGAGCTCCCTCGGCTCTTCAGATGACCCCACCCCAACCCCTCCCTGGCCAGCCACTGAAGGCCACCTCGAGACCCTGCCCACCCTGCAGCCCCTGGCAGGTACCTGGGGCACCGTGTAGGGGGAGGGATTCATGAACTCGGAGAGGTCCATGGTGCACTCTCGCTCATCCTGGGACACGTGGATGGACTGGATGGGGGGGAAGCGCGGGTAGGCGTCCCGAAAGTCCTTTAGCCGCAGCCGCCGTTGGACCAGGCCCCTGTTGGACCGCTCGACAAACACCTGGGGAAGCAAGCGGGCAGCAGGTAGGGTGTCAGAGCCCCACCGCCCGGCGGGGTGTGTCCCACCACCTGGAGGGGCCTGGGTCTGAGGGGCCTACCTTGTGCTTCAGGAGGACAATTAGCTGGGAGCGCAGGATCAGGCCCTGGAGCCGGGCCGGCTGTGGGAAAGAGACAACACGGCCTTGTCTGCAGGCAGAGCCCAAGGCCTTGTGACTCTGCCTGCTTGGTCACAGGCCCTGCTGAAAGCTCAGAGGGGCGGGCAGGCGGCATCTGAACAGCAGCTGCAGTATGTCTGCTTGGGGGACCTCACTCTGGCCAGGTTCTCATCAGGCTCCCTGTTGATGTGTAGCCACCGTCTATGGGCACTGGCCCTACTACAGGCTTTTCACCTGCACGAGCTTGTTAATCCCCAAACACCTCACAATGCAGAATAAGGAACAAGGTGCCTGGGTTGTAGTGTGTGCTGGGTGAAATGCAGGTCTGGCCCTGACAAAATTCACCCCAAACCTTTGGGCGCATGGTGCTGGGTGGGCCGCACTTCCATTAGCACCTCCGGATAAAAGTCACAGCCCCGGCTGCACAGCTGACAGTGCAGTTTGGGACACGAGCAGAAGACACACGGATGCGTCACTAACCCAGCTATGGGTGTAGCACTCACACAGCTGTGACTCGGCTCCTTGCAGTTAGCACGATTCCACCATAAACCCAGACACGGGGTTCTGTACCCCGACACACCACACCTCCCCCACATGTCCTGAAAGGTGCACGGGATGAGTGTGACTTCCCTGTGAGGTCTGGGGAGGCAGCAGCTGCCCGAGGCCACTGGCTCATGTGGGACGGTGGCCAACCTGTCGACCTGCCTAGGGCCCAGTACCTGGGTGTCATCGGTGGACTCCACCACGGGGAACCCGTTGTGACTGGACGCTGTGTTGCTGAGAATGTCCACAATGACGCCCACTTTCTCCGTCCTCCGCACGCAGGTGACCGGTGTGCTCATCACCTCTCTGTGGAGAATGTACACTTTGGCCACTGCTGGCCACACGGCGACCAGCCACGTGGTGACCAATCACAGGCTGACGGCCCATGCAGCCACGGGGGGGATTCCTGAGCGGTCTTCACACCAGAGCTGAAGCTCACCAGGCACGAAGCTGCCAGGAGCAGGAAGCTGGAGGCGAGGCCAGAGGCTGCAGAACCCAGGCGCTGCCCGAGGAGAACCAACCAGCCCCGGGTGGCACCTGCAGCCCCAGCAGCGGCTCTCAGAGGTTCGCACAAAGGC